TTGAACTTAGAAATGCTTCACATTTCTGAAATATCTATTGGGTTTCTCCAAAGACCTGCAGCAGATTTTCTGACACTATGACTTCTCCAACCATGCATCTATTTTGTGACATAAAATAGTCCAAATTTACCTTACAGATAATCAAACGCAGGACAACCTATCTTTGAGTTTTACATTATTTTTTCTAGGAGCTAGAGAAACATTTTTTAAATACTTAAAATTTAAATCTCATACATAAGGCCCAACAAGCCACAACCCCTAGAAATGGGCCAGCATGTAGACTCAGCAAAGCCTAGATTCAAAACTCAAGCTCCTCCTGGGTCCACAGAACCTCCCCCACCCCCACACAGTCCCTAACCCCCCAGGAAACACCTGTTCGTCTCTCTGATAATTCTGAACAGAGAAGAACCACAAAAACCATGCTGGTCTGTAACATAAGGTGCCTGTATTGACCCCCACTCCCACTCCCAGCAAAGCTGAGATGTCCGGGAACCTTTTACACTTCCTTCTCGGGGAGGGATTGAGGGGCCATCTATTTTGGCAATGGGGATCCGTCTACTGCCACCCACAACTCGGAACCTCTGGGGGATCCAAAGCCTCCCCCCTTTGACTTCTGCACCCCACAGGACCGCAATCTCTGTCCCAGGGGACGTTCTGGAGACGGGGTGCTTCAGGAGCAGGGTCGTGGACACCAACCCCCCCCCCAGGTTCCTGGGATTTTAGGGACTGTACTAGGCTCACCCACTGTCCGAGGCGGTGCACGCCTCCAGCTCGGCGCTGGCTGCGCTCAAGATTCCGAGTTCGGGAAAGGGTTGGCTTACCGGGGAAGCTGCCACGCCGGAGGCGGCGGTCGGCCCGGGAGGCTGCAGTAATCCATTAGGCGCTGCCGAGTAGCGCGCATCCCGGGCGGCCAACACCGGCTCGTGTCGGAGAGGGAACTGGGTCGAAACCGCGCGGCAGCGGCCACCGCAGCAGGCCGGCAGCTCCGGGCAGGCGGTGTCAGCGCCGGCGGGGGGCTCGGCGCCCGGGACTCCTTCCGGGCTCCCCCGCCGGGCTCCCCGCCGGCTCCGGAGGCGGCCCCAGCGAGCAGTGGCGGGGTTGGGCTGGACGCCGGGCGGGAGCCGAGGCCGCTGAGGACCCCGCAATCCCGCAGCCGGCGACTGGAGCCCACCTCTGCAGAGACAAAGGTTAGAAAAAGAGGGGGTGAGGCTCTGGGAAAGCAGAATGCGGGGGGAAATTCGCCTGGGAAATCAGGAAAAAGGCCGTGAAGGCGAGCGGCGCCTGCACATGACCAGCCGCAGCCAATGACGACCGCAAATAGGTCATAAAAAGGTCTATTACCAAGTTGTAAATTTTCTTCAAACAAAAAGGAATTTACTGCAATTCCTTGCGGATTTTGCACATACAGCTCACAAGCGCCATGTTTTCCCCCTCTCTCTACCTCTTTTTCTTTCTCCCTCTCTCTCCCTCCCTTTCTCTCTTTTTCCTCTCCCTCCCTCTCTCCCCTTCCGTGTCCCATCTCCTTTCTCCTCTTGGTCTTCTCTCCCTCCCTCCCTCCCTCCCTCCCTCTCTTTTTACTCCCCCTTCTTTTCTCTGTCCTCCTCTCTCTGTTTTGCTTCCCTGCCAGATTTTTTCTTCTTTCTCTTTCTCTTTCCTTCCTTCCTTTTTCTTTCCTTCCTTCTTCCTTTCTTCCTTTTTCTTTCTCTTTTCTTCCTTCCTTTCTATCTCTCTCTCTCTCACACACACACACATTTTCTAGGAATTCTTCATAGAAGAAGAATCTGCTCAAAACCTCTGTGTAGTTGCTGTGTGGGAGGAAGTGTCACCTCCCACCTAATGTCTCCCTTTACATTGGACACACACACACACACACAGAGGCAGAGGAACTCCCAAGAGCTTTTGGGCTTTTACTCTCTAACCTTGGGCAAGCCAACCCTGATCTTGCCCAGAAAACCTGGGCTCTGTAGACCAAGAACTGTCACAAGCTCTCCCCTCCCACTCTGCTGCATTCTAAATTAGGGTCCCTCCCATTTCCTGGAGGGTCCTAAGGCTGGAGAGTCACCAAACACCTGGAAAGGCCTGAAATGGCTTTAGTATCTTGTCAACCTCTGCAGAACCCTATTTTTGAGAGACTACTGTTCGGTCTTTATCTCCACAGAAGCTTCCTCCTGGACAGTTTGGAGTTAGGTAGGAAGCAATCTTTCCGCCTCCCCTCGGGAATTCCTACCATTACGTCCATCTAAGAGTAATTTTTGTAATGGAATTTAATTCTATTCTTATGAAACCCCTCCCTTACCCCAAGTAACTGTCCATTGAATAGCTTGCTCAATGAAATTCTGGAGAGAGACTTCCCCATAATCAGCCTAGAAATAAAATATTCTTGAAAGTAAGTACCACACCTCTTTCGTCTTTTCCATATGAACTGTTCTAGTGAATCCACCTGAAAGTAAATGTCCTTGTCCGGCCCCTCACATTTCCCTCATGGACCTGCCATCCAGGCACAGTACCTGCCTGAATGGGTAACCACCACCACCCTTCCCAGGTCTTCCAAACCTATCTAGCGATAGGTTTATGTTCATACTGCCTATCTGTGTGTAAGTCCTCTGCTATCAACATATTCATCTCCAGTAAGTACCCAATTGAACTTGGGCTTAAGCAGAAAAGAGTACATTGTCCTCTGGGACAGGCCATTTGTGTCCCATGAGAAAGTTCCGATAGCCTTGGATAATTTTAATAAAGATTTCTGTGGTCATATGTCACCAAAGGTCTGTCTAGAAAAAACCAATGGGCCCTAATTTTGCTGGAGGACCAAGATCCATTAAAATGTTCTCTCTCTTCCCTGTCTATCCCTAGGTGTCCAAGAATTCAGCAAACACTGGGAAAGCAGAGGACAACAGCTTGGATGTAAAACTTATTGCACTGAAAAAGAAAACTATTTTTATTATACAAGTAAATGGAAGACATTGCTAGGCCCTCCCAAGCCCAGAATATTTTATATTGTTTTATATCTATGGAACTAAGTAAAAGGCATTGTGTAATTCTAAAATTTTCTGAGAAATAATCAATACTCAATTTGCCTCTTTATATTCATCCATTCTACCATAATAAAAGTGGAGTTTATGACCCCTCCTTTTCAGCTTGGGGTTGAGGGCTAAGAAAAGACTGAACAGAAAAGGCAGCCATATTTGCAGGTTTTTCTCCTTTGCAGAGGTAAAGCAATGTATACATCTTTGTTGACCTTACAAAATGGTAACCATAAACATAACTTCTGTATAAATGATTGGGTGATTGCTGGTCCTTGCAAACAGAGCTCCAAATCATGGCATTTTCCCTAATGTTAATATTCAAGGGTTCTATTTTTTTCATTCAACAGTTTACAGACTTATTTGTCTCAAAAATAACACCACTTGGGATTTCAAAGGGTTCTCAGAAAAATGTATGCAAATTTACGCAGCAAAAAAGCTTGTTGCCGCAATGCTTGAATGTTTATGATCTGAGCCAATTAGAAAGACAAGTATGTGCTCGTCCTCGCTGGTCTGCCTTCCTGAGACACCATGTTGGGGGGTGGGGATATGTAGCCATTATGAGAGAAGGTGGATATGATGTGGTCTTAATCTGTAACTCTCATATATGAAAGGAAACATATACCCACATTTATAACCAACACTACGCATGTGTGTAACATGTGCACCTACAAGTTCATATTCTCAAGTAACACTATTGTGAGCCATTTTCTGTATATAAGCTATGATTTTTACCATGTTTTAGGGAGATGATGGAGCCTGAATGTACATTCCCACAACAACGTAAAATGCCAACGAAATGACATTTTTACCTTCCTTTCTTTCTTTGATTTCCGCCTCCACCCATGCAAGTAGGTCCCGTGCTGAGCAGAATCCTACGGAAGTCGGTAGCCCTGAAAGTGGAATCTAGGAAGCCAGAATTTTAGTGGGAGACAGCAAATTGTACAGAAGGTTCCCTTAAATCAAAGGCAGCTGGAGTTTAGCCAGCACCCGTCTTTGGGCAGTTTATGCCTCAGGCTGTTTCCAAGCCCTGCTTTCAGTCCTAGGCATCCATACTATGTACCAGCCAACAGTAGTCTCAGGCAGCGCACAGAGCAGAATGTTCCTAAATCCAGCATGCACATTTGCAGCTGTCTCTTCTGGTGCAAATGTTTAAGCCTAAGCCACCCTTGACTTAAAAATGGTCTTTCCTGGCTTAGGTTAGCGAATGTCACAGCTACAGCCTCTTCCTGGGTGGAAAACTAGGTGGTCCTTTGCTTCTGATCGAGCCAGTTCTACCACTTCTCTAGTCCAAGTGTTAGCAGGCAAATAACTTACTGGGGGGGGGGGTGAGACTCCCCCAAAACGAACAAATCCTTTTTTCTTACTCATATGATTATTTCGGAAATAAATATGTTTATAAGCAGAGCCTTTCACTGTTCAGTGTTTTTGCCTTTCAGGGAAAATGTTACTTGAATTTCTTCTTTCTCCTTTTCCCTCTCCCTCCTCCATGTAAAATGGCAGCTGCAAGAGCAGCCTCCATTGGGAAATAGATATCTTGATAATAATAGATGCCAAAGCCCGGTATCAACTGCGACTCCATGGAATTACACTGTGCTGTAATCTGGACTGTGGGTCTTTCCCTCACTGGGCCTTACAACTGGAGACCTTTGTGAAATTCTAAGCTTTCACAGAATTTTAGGATTATTCAGAGCAAGACAGAGTACGGGTAGGGTAGCGATAATCATTCCTCTCTGGAATGAGTGCCCACCCCCAGCATTTAAACACACACACACACACACACACACACACACACACACACACACGCCAAAAACCGCACGGCATGGGACCAGTTACTCCCACCCCTTTCCTATCAAACAGAAGCCTGGAGCAAGTTGCTGCCTTCTTGTGAGCCTTGGCCATTGTTTGCCAGACACTGAGGGAAAGGGGTATCTGCCACAGAAAGGTATATTTGCCACAACACTCAAAGACATTAGCTCTAGAAAGAGTTTGATTTCTTTATTAAGGCGCTAGCTAAGTACTGGAGCGGTTGTTTACACTTGGAGGTTTCTCATTTGCTCTCAGGGCTTGTTTCAAATAGGTGATAAGACCATAGCTTTCCTGAAGAACAGCAGAGGATGTACCAACCGACTTCTGAGATGCACACAGCAAGTTGGCTTAAAAGCAGCAGGCGAACACAGCGGAGGGAATACAAATAAATAAATGGCACCTACTTAGAACAGAATCACAATGGCAGCCTGGTCTGGAGACTTAGGTATTTCAGGTGATTACAAGTGAAGTTCAAAATGAAAGCAAAGTAACTCACCAGAGCGACGAAGAGTTAGTGAAAATGTTATAATTGGTTTTTCAAGTATTAATTTACTCTGAATTATTTGCCATTCATTTGTAGGGATGAGAGAAAATGATAAAAACACCAATTTTGACATTGTCCTGAAAGTCTTGTCACTGGCCCAACATTTTCCTGAAGTTTAAGGAAGCTGTAGAGCCTGTAGTACACATTACACTCTTCAGCGAACATGTGCTTTTCAAATATTTGGCCCAGACTTTTTCCCTGACACGTTACATTTACAAAATACACAAAGAAATCTTTAAGGAGTAAATAAAAGGCATCCAACATATCCACTATAAAAACAGGGGAAAAAACATAAATAACACATTTTAATCAAATAATATAAAGTAAATATTCTGCCAGCATAATTTTTAAAAATCAATAGACGTTTTAATTTACTCACCATAAAGAAAAGATTTTAAAATGTTCAAGTGCACTTGTTTGATTAATAAAGCATTTTATATTCAATCATTTAGTGCTAATCATTAGGAAGTTTACGTTGTTGAGACAAATCACCAGCTCAGACATTAAAAACCACCATTATAAAAATATAGCTACAAGGTCAGTATCAAGTTACCCTTTTTATAGGACAGTTATAGGCAGCCTCTATGCTATACTAGAAACTTTTTTTAAGACACCCCAAATCCCTCTGAAAGTGTAGAAACCTCAAGAGCAGTGACATGAAGGTAGCTTAAAACACAGGTAAGGTCCTGTTCAGAAAAAAGAAAATCGGTGGTTGTCTACCAGCATATGTTGATCATTAGTTTTAATAGTCTGTGGTAAAAATTTAAAGGTAGAAGTTAATTTGTCGGGTCTTCAGCCCTGTCTTCCTCCAGTTCTGGGACTTCTTTTTTGGTTTCCCCGTCCTTCACCTCCTGCCGGGAAACGGGAAATTTGTCCTTGTTGTTCTCCTTTTTCCATTTCATTCTCCTGTTTTGGAACCAGATTTTTACCTGTCTCTCTGTGAGGGCCAGGGCGTGGGAAACCTCGATTCTTCTCTTCCTGGTCAGATAAGGGTTAAAAAGGAATTCCTTTTCCAGCTCTAAGGTTTGGAAGCGACTGTAGGTTTGTCTTCCTCTTCGTCTACCTGGAGCTGCTGATTAAAACAAATAAAAAAAAGGAGGGGGGAATGAACGTTTTTTTTTTTTTAAATGTGGTGTCTCCGCTTGTTGGTAGAAGTTTCTGGAAACGCTTAAGGGGGAAATATACACAGTGCTCTTTAGCTCTGATTGACACATGTGCACAGATATATACATATGTATATACACATATATATGCGAGTGTGTGTAAGGTGTGTGAGCAAAAGCAGCAAAGACAAGGTCTTGGTGATCATTCTGTCCCCCATCATCTTTTCATGATTTCTACTTTAGGAAGAAAAAAAAATCAGTCTGCATTACTTTATGAGCCACTGTGGCTACACAGAAGGAAAAGGAGGGGGAGAGGGAGAGGACAAGGGAGTTTTAAAGCTAGAACGTGAGATGAAAGCAGATTTCTCCCCTATTCCCCTCTGTTTAAAAAAAAAAATGCATCCCAACCTTGTGGTCTCATCCAGGGAAACATTTGAGAAGGAGACGAGCTCTGATTTAAGTGGTCTGGGTCCTCGCCAATATTACCACTGGACGATTTACAGTCAGGATATTGTACCAGCTCGGCCTCTTGCTGGGTCGTAAAAATCGGCTGTCTCTGTAAGTTATCGTATCCGTAAAACTTCGCGGGCTCTCGGTGACAGGCAATCCCGCCGCAGGGGGGAGGCGGCGGCGGAGGCGGAGGGTGCGGAGGAGGAGGTGGGGCGGCCTGGTAGGCTGCGGCCGGGCTGCCCCCGCCGGGGTGGAAGTAGTCCTGGCCGGGACCCGGGCCGCCCCCACCGCCG